TTAATAAAATGATAGAGGGATTAGATTCTATTCAAGATTGTTTGAATTCAATTGATTCTATAGTTTCAACAAAAGAGGATCAATTTTTAAATGCTGTAAAAGCAAAAGAAAATGTATTAACAATTTTATCAGATCATTCAATTGGTGATAATACTCAAGCAATTGTTGGTTCATTAAAATTATTAGCAAAGAATCAACATCACTTAGAAGGAATGATAACAGATAGTGATTCTAATTCCAATAATAATAATAGTAATAATTCTATTAATCCAGATATTAATGAAGCAATTTCAAAATTATCAGAATTATTGCCATTACAAATTCAAGCAGCAAAACTTTATTTAAAAGATTCAACAAATATTGAAAATAGAAAACAATTTACAGATATTTCAAATTCAATGAAATTACCATTAACAAAGATTCAATCGTTAATGGAACCATCAATAATATCAGATTCAAATGAATTATTATCAAAACAAGAGAATTCTTCTAATCAAATTTTATTAAATACTATCCCAACTGCAATCGGTAATAATAATAATTTTGAAGAAAATTCAAAATTAATTGATAAATTGTTGAAAGACTTAGAAAACGATAACTCAAATTTAGTTGGATTAATTGAATCTGAATTAATTTTATCAAACGATCAATTATTAAAAGATTTTGTAAAGAAAACAATTGATCAGCTTTTAGAAGAAGTTAAAAATAGAAGATCAATTGGTATGAATAAATTATCAAAATCACCACATGATAAAGAAATAAAACAAGAGTTTTTAAAATCGAATCAATTGATTTCAGATTTATCTAAATCATTAATTGATTGTTTAAAATCTTTTGAAGTGATTCCATTATTAAAATTACAATTATTAAGTGCTCATCCACAATCTGTAACCCCAAATTCACCAAAATTACAATCTGCTCAAAAAGATATAAATAATAGAATTAATTCAATAGTTTATCAATATAAAGATATTCAAAAATATGATCCATTAATTGATAATCAAATTAAACAATTAGAATCATTTCAAAATCAATTAAACCAAGAATTATCAAAAGATTCAAATGGTTCAAAAGATAATTTATCATATATTATTGATAATGTAGTTAATAGTTTTAATAATTTATCAAATTTACCAACATCTATAAATGGTCAAGATAATGAAATAACTACTATAATACCAATTGAAAAATTAAATGATGAATTAATTGATGAAATTAATGAAGAGATGAATTTAGAAATTATTAAAGAGAATAAAGAGAATGAAATTAAAAGAGAGAATGAAAGATTAGAAGAATTGAAACAATTAGAGAATTTATCAAATGATCAAAAACTTTTAAAATTATTTAATGATTTAATTCAATATTTAAAGAATAACGAAGCAAATAAATCGGTTGTAACATTAAAACAATTGATTGGTGAACAAGAAAAATTGATTCAATTAGCAAATGAAATTAAACAAAATTCAAATAGTCAAGATTTTAAAGATCAAATTGATTCATCAATAAATTTATTTAAAAATTCAATATCTTCATCAATTGCACTTGCTGGTAAAACTGCAAAAATTAATGATGATCCACAATTAACAAAAGCTTGTAAAACAGTTAAAAAGTCAATAATTGAATTAACAAGGTTATTAAAATTAAATCCATTCGTTGAAGAATTATCATTATATCAATTAAAACAACAACAACAACAAGCTCAATTATTATTACCAATTAATGAAAATATTATAAAAGGCTTTAAAGAACATCAAATTAATTCAAGATATTATATTGAAACTGCTTATCAAGTTGGTAAAGATGATTTAATTTCTCAATCAATTGAAAAAATTGTTTATCAACAAAGTGAACTATTGAAATTGGCATCCAATTATTTAGCATCAAAGGAAGTTTATGAAACATTAGATCCAAACATTCAATTGTTATTAGCAAATTCATTAGAAACAGTTAGGAAATCAATTGTTGATCAAGTTGAATCTGCTTTATCATTCTTGGAAAGTGAAAAAAGTGATGAACAAATTGAAAAACTTTTAACAATTTTAGATACAGTTTCAGAGAGTGTTGATAATTGCTCTAAATCAATTTTCTTTTCAATTAATCAAAAGGGAAAACAAGATTTATCACCAAATACTATCTCTCAAAATACAATTAAACAATCTATAAATTCAATAATACCAACATTAACATTACAGGCCACACAATTACAATCGAATCCAAATGATAAAGAATTGGAGAGAAAGCATCAACAATTATTGGATCAAATCATTCAACCATTAGAACAATTAATTTTAAATCCAAATATTAATCAAATCATTGATGATAAAGAAATCATTGAAATTGAAAATGAATTATCATCAAATGAATTTGAAGAAAAAGAAGATAAAAAAATTAAAAAATTAATTAATGATGAAAAGAAAGAATTGGATAAATTAGAATCAAATGCACTAGATTCAGATTCAAAAGGTGTTGTTGAATCATCAAGATCATTAGTTAAATTTCATCAAGAAATTTTATCATTAGCTGATTCATTAACAACAACTGATTCAGATAATGGCAATGGTAATGAAGATGAAAATCAAGAAAGAAATCAAATTATTAAAGAATGTTCAAAAGAATTATCAACATTAATACCATTACAATTACAAACTATTAAATCAATGTTACAATCAAAAGATATACCAACCGAAGCATCATATCAAAAGAAAGTTGGATTCATTAATAATCAAATCAAAAGAAATTTAAATGAAATCGAAAAACAATCTTCAAATAATAATAGTAACTATAAATTAATTAGTAAAACACCTTATTACTCTGATCAATTTAAAAAATTATCAAATAAAATAGATAATAATGGTATATTGGTAAAGGACGAACAACAATTAAAAGTTAATCTTAAACGTTTAGAGAAATTGGGTGAAAAATGTATAGATTCATCAAATTTCGATCTATCTAGACAACAAACATTTTTAGATAAAGAAAGACAACAAAGAATTAGAGATGCAATCAATAGATTAGAAAATAAATTAAATGGTGATAATGGTGATAGTAATTTATCAAATAAAATTAATCAATATTTAAAACAACCTTTAAACCCAATTTCAAGAGAACAATTTGAAAATATTAGATCAAAATTCCAGCAATCATTAGATAATTTAATTGATGAACAATTATCAACACCATTACAATTATTATTAAATCATTCAAATTTAATTCAAAAGTTATCAAGACAATCAACTCAACAACAAAATAATAATGGTCAATATAAAATTCAAGAAACTACTAAAAAATTATTAGAAAATTATCAAAAATTAAAACAACAATTAATTAATAATGATATAAAATTAAATGAAACTAAAAAATCATTAATTGGTAAATCATTAAAAGAGATTGAAAATTTAACACCACAACTAATAATTGCCTCGACAAATTGTTTAAATGATAATAATAATAATGATCAAAAGAAGAGGGAGATATTAGAAAATTTACAAACTAAAATTGAATCACCAATTTATGAAATCTTAAATCAATTAGATCCAATTGATCCAATATTTCAATTTAAAAATTTAATTAAACAATATCAAGCTACTTTAATTAAATTAAATGATACAATCGATAGTAGTAGTTCAACAACAATAAATGAAAGTAATTTTAAACAAATTGATGATTATATTTCAAAATTATCAAATTTACAATCTAATCATTTAATACCATTATTAAAACAACAAAAACAATCACAATCATTGAATGATGAGAATGAAATTAAAGAATTTGAAATTCAATTAAAATCTAAATTGAACGATGTTGAGTCAATTTCAAAAGATTATTTAAAGAATTTAAAACAATCTAAATTAACAGATACAATTAAAGCAGAGAAGGATATGTCAATATCTTCGCTATCAAATTTAATTAATTCAATTCAAAGTATTAATCAACCAAAGATTGAAGATAATCGTATCAAACTATCACATTCTTCACAATCTAAATCAAAAGATATTAAACAATTGGTAGATTCAATCAAATCTAATAATCTATTACCAATAGTTGAATCACCAAATAAAATTGAACGTTATGTTTCAATTCAAACAAATACAACTAAACCAATTTTCTCAAATAATAATGGTAAAATCATATCAACAGCTCAAGTAAATTTTAAACCAAGATCATCTTCACAACCTCAAAAACCAATTTTAACAAATACAAATACAATTGCAATTACAAAACCAATTAGACCAATTGAAACTAGAGTACCTGTAAAGTTATCAACTCAACCTACTACTTCTACTACTACCACTTTACCACCACCATCAACAACATCTTTACAAACAAAATCAATACCAATTAAAACACCACAAACAACAGTAGCAACATTTAAACCAATTGATAAAGGTGCATCATTAGAGGATTCATGTATTAATGCTGCCAATCAAATGTCAAATGTAATAGGTAATGAACAACTTAGTACTATTGCTAAAGAGTTGGAATCATATGCAAATGCAATTAAAGTTGGTGATAAAAAACAAATTCTATTATGTGGTAGAAATATTTCAACACTTTTAAATAAATATTCATCAGAAGTTTCAAATAATATTAAATCAACTCCAACTTCAAACAAAATGTTACAAACAAGATGTAGTCATGGTATTGGTGTTTTACAAACTCTAAGTTGTCAATTTAAAATTTTATCAAGTGTTAAAGCTGCCTCTGATGAAAAAGATTCAGATTCAGATTCACAATTAACCTCAATGGTTAATCAATTAACTTCAACTTTATTAGATTTAAATACAAGTACAAATACTTTAAATAAATTTAAAAAATAAATAAAAAAAGAAAGAATATTTAGCTTTTTAAGACTTTAGAATGGGTTTAGGTAAATTTTAAATGTTAGAGTTTTTAATTAATTCAGTTGATAGTTTGAAAAACAAAAAAATTATAATTAGAAAAAAAAAAATTAAAAAAAAAATTTGTAAAAAGTTATTAATGACAACAGTTTTTTCATCGAAGGCGCTGTGGTTCGAAAGGTATGACAATAGATTTAGGCTCTATCCCAATGGGGTTGCGGGTTCGAGTCCCGTCGGCGTCAAAATTTATTTCCGTTGGAATCATTCCCCCGGAGGGACTCGAACCCGCACCCTTCCCAAAAAAACGGAGTGGTGAAAAAATCTCAACTCTAAATAACCCTAACCTTTTACAAATAGGGTAGCTGGAAAAAACACAAGGCAGTTTCCACATCCAGCTTTTCAACACATAATAATAAAAAAAAATCCATAAACCCAGCTACTCTATTTTTTTTTTTTTTTTTTTTTTTTTTTTTTTTCCATAAACCACAATTCGTCGCTCAAAGGAACATAATCATTAATCGAACAGGCAAACAAATTTGTAAAGATAGGAGTAATTGAAGAGAGTGTATCTGATTAAAAATCAATACCAGATAGCTATCCGTATTGAAAAACAAAATCTCAAGTTAAAATAACATGAATTGACAACATTCCATACACAAAACCCATAAACTATAAAGAAATTAAAAAATAATTAAAAAAAAAAATATATATTTTATTGAATTGAATAATTAAAATACAATTGTATTAAGAGGCGAAATTATTATTTTATTCTAAGGCAGTAGCAATGTAATCAGCTCTTAATGAGTAAACTTTGTTTTCATTCCAAGTGTAGAATACACAATCGAAACCTTTGGTGGTAATGTTTCTTGGTTGGACACCAATACGAGTTTGGTTTGTGGCATCGGTACAATCAATTTGGTCAAAGTTGAGGGCAACTTTTGGGAGGGTAGCAAATTCAACTTGGAATTTAACTGGAACAACAACTTCACGTTTACCTGAACCTTTGTTTAAGGCACAATTTTCACCAGTGTAAATATCAGAACCAACTTGAGTGTGTGAGCTTTGTACTGGTTTAGTGTAGAATTCACATCTTAAGGAAATATGGTTATTCCAAGTTAATGGGTGGATGGCAATTGAACGAGCTCTAATTGGGGCATCAAAGAAGTGGTTAACAACGGTATTACGATCTTTGGCACCTGGAATGGCAGCACCATTACGATATTCGAACCAGGTAACATTATCTAATGAATAACGAATTTTGAATGATGTAACCCATTGGTCAACATCACCACGACCTTGGAGAGCAACACACATAAAAGTACGTGGAACTTCACAACCGGCAACAATGAATTGGTTGGTATCTAAAAGTGATGAACACCAAGCTTCTGAACCATCAATGGTATTGGTACCATGGTTTTTGTAATTTAAGCAGGCATTAAATTGATTGTGGACACCATTGTAGTTGGTTGAGGTTCTTAAGTGGCATTGAGCGTTTGAAATTAATTGAACTAAACCTTGGGTTGACATTTTGTTTTTTTAAAGATAATTTGTTGGTGATGATGTTGTTGTAAATGAAATTATAATTTTCAATTTAATGATTTTAAAATTTCAAAATTTTGGTCTTTTTATAGTTGTTTTTTTTTTATTATTTTTTTAAATTTGTTTAATTTTATTTTTAATTTTTTTTTTTTTTTTAAATAAATTTTTTTTTTGTAAAATGACAAAAAAGTAATCATTGCTATTTTCAATCTAAGATTTTATAAACAATCACTTTGTTTTGTAAAACTTTAATGGGTCATTGAATTTTCTAACATAATAATCACCAACAATGAGATTTTTTTCAACTGTTTGAGAAAAAATAAATTGCAAAAATTAAAAAAATCAAAATTTCTTTGTTGGGGGGGTTTTTTTTTGAAGAAAAAAAAAAAAAATTATTAAATAAAAAATCTTTGCATCTTTTGTCATTATTATTATGAAAATTCTTGAAGGGGTGCTTTTAATATCTATTAAATTTTTTTTTTTTTTTTTTACCAAACAGTTAGTTTTTTTTTTTATTATTAATATTGTTTTTTATTTCTGCACAAACGGTGTCATTGTCTAAATTTCAATGTGGACCTAGAGAGGATTATTGAATGTTTTATTAAAGAGAGAAATTAATAGCTATAAAATATTAAAAAAAATTTAAAGATAATTCCTTATATATTACTTTTTGGGCAAAAGATTGTATTTATTTATTTCTTTTTAAAAAATTTTTTTAGAAACATTATTTATTTATTGTTTTTTTTAAAAAGTGAAAGATGGAAATTAAAAAAAGTGAATTTTTTTTTTTTTTTTTTATGTTTTTATTTTTTTCATTGTTGGGTTCTTTTGTAATTCTCTGATTTTGATATCATTGTTACTATATATATTATTTACAAAAGGGCAAAGTAAATTTAGAAAATCTTTTCACAATTTTTATTTTAAAACTATGAAGAGAATTACTAAAAGAAAAATAACTGGGGCAAACCAATAATGGGAGTTTTAATGATATCAAGTATCAAAAATGAAAAAAGAAAATATTTTCTCTTTATTATTTACTTTAACTAAAATTGAAATTCCATTTTAATGGTTCTTAAAATATATAAATTATAATAAAATAAATAATAATAAAATAAATAAATAATAATAAAATAAATAAATAAAAATAAATAAATAAAAATAAATAAATAAAAATAAATAAATAAAAATAAATAAATAAATAAATAAATAAATAATCAGACAATCAAAAAAAGTTGTTTAATTTTTAGAATTTTGTTTATAAACATGAACTTTTACCAAAACTATTGTATTGTAAAATTTAAGAAAGTGAATTATGTATCAAATCTAAGTTTTTTTTATTATTACAAAAAAAAAAAAAAAAAAAAAAAAAGTTCATTTATAAATCCATTCTAAAATATTTTCTTTCTGAACCATATAAAATTTGTTGATGATAATATTTTAATCCAGCTTTTTGAATAATAGATAATGAACCAAAATTATCAACTCTTGCAGTTGCAAAAATAGTATATAATGGTTTACCAATTAAACCTGGGCCTGTTGAAATTAAATAATTTTCTTTTATAATTGAATCAGACATACAATGAACTAAAACTTCCAACATTTCCGAACCATAACCTTTACCCCAATGGTTCTTATCGAGAATAATTGCTAACTCTCCTTCTCCATCAACTTTACCATGAATAAACATTACGTGGCCAAGGAAATCGTTGGTTTCTTTATTAAACACCATTAAACCACTACAAACATCATGGTTTTTCCAACCTTCTAACCATTGATCAACATCCTGATCCACTTGTTCTTTTGTTTGAACCCCATAACCATATTTTACTGTATTAATTGGATCACATAATAAATCATAAAAAGTTTGTCTATCTTTTGGTTCATTGGTTATATTTCTAATAAATAATCTATTCGTGGTGATTTTAACATTTAATCCTCTTTTTGTTGATTCATCAACTTTTTCATCCAAATAAAATTCAACTGTTGCTTCATTAATTTTATTATTATAATTTTTATAACTATAAATTGTCATTCTTTATTTAAATAATTTTTTTAAAATATTGGAATAGATAATTATTCACTATCCGTTCGTTTTTTTTTTTTTTTTTGAAAAAAAAAAAAAAAAAAAAAAAAAAAAAAAAAAAAACATAAAAAAAAAACATCCGAAGTAATCGGGAAAAAAATATATATTTACTAAGAATTACAATATTTTTTTTTCTTGTTTATTTACATTTTTTTTTTTTTTTTTTTTTTTTTATAAAATTTTTCTAATCCACTCTTTATGATCAATAAGAGTTATATCCTCTTCATTTGAAATTGATTTTAAATATTTTGTTAAATGGAATAAAACGTTATCACCATACTTTTTAGCATCTTTAATTTTAAAAGGTGGAACATGTACTCCATTCTTTGGGTTCATAGCAAAGTTTTTAGAGAGATCATCAACATGTAATGTATTCTTCATACTAAAGAATTTACCTAAATGTTGGTGTTTCCAAATTACCTCTAATGCCTTTACATTATGTTTAATTTTGGTTCTCTCTTTTCCATTGATAGTTCTATATGTAGTTACTTTGAACATCAATGTTTGATCCATTACAAAACAAATTTTAAAACGTGGATTTGTTAATAATCCCAACTCTGTTAATTTAATTTCAATCCATTTCCAACTAGTTTGCGACCAAATTCCAATATCATAATTTTGATATGATTCTACTAAAAATTCTTCTAAATGTGGTCTTTTCATATCTTTTTTTTATGAAAAAAAAAGAAAAGAAAAGAAAAGAAAAAAAAAGAAAAGAAAAAAAAAGAAAAAAAAAGAAAAAAAAAGAAAAGAAAAGAAAAGAAAAGAAAAGAAAAGAAAAGAAAAGAAAAGAAAAAAAAAAAAAAAGAGAAAATAAATAATTAATATAATTGTTATAAAAAAAATATATATATATTTATAATTACTTTCAACATCTTGATCTTTAAAGTCTAAAATTGTATGGTCTAAATCTAAAACTAATAATTTCTTATTTGGTCTTGGGTCATTAATTAGAGAAATGTCATTTGAACGTTCAATCATTGCAAGTAATTGATCTTTATTTTTTTCAATATGAGAGATTTCATCAGAGTCTGGAATATAATCAAACTCGAAATCATTGAATACCTCATCAACATCACCACCATTTTTTGCAATGTCTGCGATAATGTTTGATTCTGGTGTACCCATCATAATGATGCTATGATTGTCTTGAATCGATAATGATTCTATAATCATATCGTCAGTTGGTTGTTTACCTTTGGATAATCCTAAAATCTTTTGTCTCTTTGATAATACATTGGTCATTGTTTCTAATTGTCTCTTTAAATCAAAAACTGTTGAACTCTTTGAAATTAATACTTTATATTCTTTACCATTCCATTTGGTTTTAATTGTAATTTTGGAATTTTCTTCATTTATAGTTGTTGTTGTTGTTTCTATTGTTTTGATATCAGAATTAGAATCATTATTTATAGCTGTAGTAGTGGTAGTAGTGGTAGTAGTTGTAGTTTTATCAGTTGTAGTAGTACTATTAGAATCTGTTGTTGTTATTATACTATTAATTGTTGACTCTGTTGTTGTTGGGGGATTAGTTGTTGTAGATGAAACTATTGTATCCATTTTTTAAAAATTAAAATATTTTGGGTATTGTTTTTTTTGTAATAAAAAATAATATAAAAA